ATCAAGCATCCAGCCCTAATCTAGAATTTTGTAAGCAAAGTTGATTAAGGCTAGAAGATTTTAAATGCTTAACCTATAGGTTGAGATTCAGTTTGCTAAATTTTTAGTGCCTAGTGAAAATGGCGTGATTCGTAATCTTATTGTTAACATTTATTTGTGCAATGCAGTAAAATGCACTGACTATTACAAGTTAGAACTTAAATAGCCAAGTATTTCAGTTTCATGTAATGTTGAACTGAACTTCGGTAACCTTTGACATCACCTCTTGTTTACTTCTCTATTAGTTTGAAAACATATCTGCTGAGAATTACCGATTACAACTAAACATACTAGGGATATTCGCAGGTTGCTAAAGTAATCTTAACTTTAAAAATTATCAGTTGTCCACTTATGAAGTCAAAATTTTCATGGAATGACTAAAGATTCTTAAGTGTCCCTAAACACTTACTTGTTGCGCATAATTGTCTTTCCGCAATTACCTAAAAGAATTCATTTTCGCTTATATTTGTATGAGATGTTCAACGCTTCATCAAACGCAAGCTAGCATCTTTATTAGCACTTTGTCAGTTCCATTGGCAATGCAGAAAAGACTAAAAATGTGTACAGAAATGTATTAGAGGAAAAACATCACCCGTATAATGCAATGAGAGTAATACTTATTGTTGGATAGAAAAATAAACAGCAATAAATTAAATTATTTACAAAGTGAAGTTTACTAGTTCAGTTGTTATATGCATTTCTTAGAGGGTTAGCCCGCGATTCGCACTAATGCTTTTATGCATCTAAAAACGAACTGAAAAAGTCTAATTCAATTAATTATTTAATTATCATGTAGAAAACAGAAATCACAATGTTAGCTGTGATATCAATAAATTTATTTGAAAATATTCAAGTGAAAATTGCTAGTTCATTTCAAATTTAATAAAGTAAAGAACCAAAATTTATTCGGAATAATTAGTTAAAAACAGACTTTTATTCAGAAGGGTGAGTGCCAGCAGACTTTATTCAGAAGGGTAAGTGCCGACTGACTTTTATTCAGAAGGGTAAGTGCTAAGATTTGATATTAAAGTTATCCATAATTTTTAGTGATCACTTTTAAACGAAATGTACTTGATAATTTTGCATTATATTTTAAAACGCTGACAAAATGTTTGCAGTCTGCTTCTCCCTTCAAATTTGATCTCTCATATCGGAAATTACAACAGAACAGATTTACGTGTTAATTCTGATGCCGCGCAGTCATCAGCCATAATTAGTAATATGCGTTATTCACTTCTCCGTTTTTAATGCTGACATTTTTACCGTTGTAGGATGCACTTCGAGTAGCAGATTTTGAATAGCCTGAAAAAAGACAATTTATACTTTACGGAATTACTTTTCAGTATCATTTCTCACTTCTAAACTTTACTTTACAAACATACGTTTGCATTACCATAAAATAAAATACTTTATGAGCAGATTTAAATTAATATTTAACTGGAAAATCAAATTAGTCAACTTGTCTCGTTATTTCCATAAATGATCAATGCTGGCACGGTCTGGTCAAATGCAATCCGGTCATTCGGCAGTATAATTCACAATTAAGTACTTAGTCTCAGTACAACTTTTAATAATGTACATAAGTACTTAAATTGATGAGAAATGAAGTTTTCATACCCATTTTCTGCAAAAATATCTCTCGATCGCGCACAAAGAATGCTGCTGCACTACAGAAAAGTGCTACACTAATAATTAATATAACATTTGGGATGTAGAAAGCTTTAATCAACGATTTAGAAGAAGCCGATGGACCGTTATTGGATCCTCGAATCCAGTCAGATACCTGAAACTTGTAAAGCATCATAAATTGGGCCATTAAGTCAAATTTTCAGTGATTTTGATCAGAAAAGATTCTCAACTGACTGTTAAATACGCAAAATGGTATTTATTTAGCTTAAAAAATTTTTTTAGCATTAAAAAGTAAGATAATGAACCAAGCCAATAATGTAAGGCCCAGAAGCATCTCCAAACAGGTGCGATATGAGTATTTGCCATGAGTTTGCAATGCTTCGGCGTTCGGGTACTATGATATCCTACAAGTGCTTTAATTGTTCAAATTTTTCTCAATGATATACGGTATTAATGTGATAGTATTAATTCTAAAACTTATTAATTTTCATCACTTTCACGTACGTCATAGAATATGAGGCAAAAAACGTTTCAATTTAAAACGTACAAGAAGCATGTCAACATTGATCGCCCAATTCATGCACAACAATACAATCGTTAAAAAGAAGAACACCTGAAATGAGTAAAAATTTTCTAGTAATGGATTAATAATTTATCGGAGCAAAAATAATATCGTCAATAAATTGTTGAATAGTACATCAAAAGTTCACAAATATGGAAAAACTTTAAGAGTGATCAAAAAATTAGTAAATTTATTGATTGGATTAGTAAATTCAATACTTTTTGTTTACTCTTAGTTTACTTTCTCTTAAACATAAGTATGTTGAAAAGAAATATGCAAATTACTCTTGCATATGCTTGCAAGAGTAGAAAAGGAATGGATTCAAGGAATCACATAACTCACCCAGGCTAGACCGATATCTGTTGAAGTTAAGTGAAGACTAGCAAAAAGGCAGGGGACTGCGAACAACGAGCCAAAAGCGCAAATCAGAGCATTTGACCGAACACTTTGTATCGGTTTGCAGCACCATTTACCTTGTGACCAAAGCTAAAATAATTGCTCAAATTTAAAAGCTTAATTCTTAATTATGCGCATTTTTTTCTCTTAGTCATTCAACTGAGATTAAATTCCAATGCATATCAAAAAATCTTACGCCATTTTACGTGTTTCCCATACGTGTTCAACTTATACAAAATAATGGGGAAGGCAAGTTTTAGACAATAATTTGGCAACCAAAAAAAATATATTACTTCAACTTTTCAAGAGAAGCTCGCTACTATCAATATTTAAGTATTTGAAAAATTTTGATAAAATATAACTTAAAAATTTTGTCATCAAAGTATTACGTGTTTAAAGTAAAAATTATTTTATAATTTTATATGCAATAAAATAATGTCTTCTACAAAATCTTTAAGAAATTGTGGTATAAAATCAACTTGCGCAAGAAATGAACCAGCTGAGACACCCAAAATTCCACCAGCGACTGTTATCAAACCAAAATTGAATGCTATGCTGGAATGTAATCAGTAATGTTTGGACGTGTTGAAGGACGAAATTCAGAAAGCAATCAAAACATTTCAGAAATATTTTTTGCAATAAATAATATAAATGTATAACATTTAAAAATTATGCATTTTTCATCAGAAATAAAAACTGAATTGCTAACTAGTTTTTAACGTTTTCAAATAATACAAAAATTTTTTCAATTTTTTCACATTGACAATAGATTGTCACGTAAGTTCATCAGAAATAATCAAAATTAAAAGCGTAAGTAACTCGAATACCTATTTTTCTCGTCACTGCTAAGATCATTCGTGCTGTTTAAATTGTTGCTCATAGCAGTTGAATGTTCAACAGCCGCTGGTCCCCACCAAGATAATGTGCCTGTTACGAATACCACAGATGTGTAAGCTAACGTGGAGTACACGTATGTTGGACTAGAAAGAACAATCATCAAAATACGCTTACAAAATTACATCACATTAACAAATTTAAGGTAATTTATCGAAATGACGAGTAATTTACGATCAGAAAACATTTAAGTTATTCAATAAACATATCTTTTTCTCAGAGTTAATTTGAAAATTGCAATAAAAATTTCATTCAAAATCACAGAAATAAATAAAATTTTGCTTATTGAAGCACTGGAAAAATTTTAGAAAAAAATGATATCAGATATAAAATAAACATTAAAATTTTAGAATTTAAAAGAGTGAATGAAATTTGAAGAAATATTTGAATGATTTACAGTAATTCGCAGAAAAGCAATAAAGTAATGAATACATTTTAGAAATTTCTTTGATGTCCTGCCAGTATGAAGTTTTGATATTATTGTTAGAATCCTCAGAACGGTTTATTGTTTCTGCTTCGCCGCGTTTCGGTTCTTTCATTATTACTATGATAAGAAATATACAAATTACCCCTAGAAATGGCGTCACACGTACGCCCCATTGCCAACTTTTCAACCACGATGAAATATTTGAAGACGTCATGTATCCCAAACCACTAAAGTGCTTTCAAATAGTTTTACACTTAAAAAAATTGCTATTTTTGATTTTGAGGGCTTTATTAGCTCCACCATAAACTATTATAATATTCATCATTTGTAATTTCTTAATTCTGAAATAAATATTCATGAATTTCATTATATAGTTTCGGTTCTAAAATGATTGGCAGAAATATTAGAGCCACCAAGTTGATAAAACGTGACCTAATTTGGTGACGACTGAAAGTACAGTTTTTAATAAGAGCTAAATGAATGTTACCTTCCAACAGGAATCGCAAAATAAAAAATCATAAGGGCTCGACTTCGCATGGAGCTTGTATAAAGATCAGCAATTATTGTTGGTGCAATTGTAGCATAAGACGCCTCACCAATACCAACTACACCTCGAAGAAGCAAAAATAACCAAAACATCTGTAAAATTCTTCAAGTTTTCAGGGAGCTAAAAACTCAAACGGTGATATTTTTTGCATTTGTTATCTTCCAAATTAGCAATGTAAAACAAAATAATACTTCTGTATTTAATACAGTAAGCAACAAATTAATTAAAAGGTGGAAGGCAATATTGACAGAATAAATAAATTACTGACATTCTTTGGTACAAAAGATGATGCCAAGACAGACAGAATCCAAATGGCTATTCCAACAGTCATCGTCCATTTGCGATTACATCGGTCTCCAAGAAAACCACAAAGCGGTGCAACAAACATGTAAAATACTGTAAATACAGTTTGCAATAAGCCAGCCTGCGCATCATTGATGGAGAAAAATTCCTGAACTTGCGTTAGCACTCCTTAAATTATAATATACTAACAAAAGTAAGTTGAACTTGCAGTAAATTTGCACACATATTTTTAGTACTAAAAAAAATTGGTAGAATTATTTGAACTTTTGACCTCTTTAAAATTCAATTAAAACTTTTTCTATTCAATCAATCATTAGCTCAGTTGAATATAAATTTTATTTAGACTTATCAGAAAAACAAAGTAGCTGATAAGATAAAGTAATTAAAACTATTTCCTTCCAAAATTGTCATTTTAATATAAAAAAACATTTTGGATGTAAAAAACAAAATACCTGCAACTGTAAATCTATCCATGAAATTTAACAAATTTATAGTAAATAAAATGATCAGACAAATATGATTTGAGAAGTATAGTTTAACTGTTCTACTTGACAATAACATTGATAAACTGATATTAGCTTTTGTAATCACAACAACAAACTGAAAATTATGCAAATTTTGTATGGCTGAAAGCACTGAAGTATGTGATAACTATCAGAGTTCACACGCGAGTAAAATCAAAACAAAAACAATGAGAAAGTAATCAAAAGAGCAAACGTGAACTAAACTTAATGCATAACTTCTGAATATCATTCATATATACGCGCTGTTTCAATGTTGTTTTCAAACTAAAAGTCATAGTAAAATTGTATTCAGTTAGAGAGTTTACGTCGAAAAATATGTCACAATAAAAAATTTTATTCCGAAAATATAGAAAAACGTTTTTGAATAGTAATAAAAAGTGAGTATAAAACGCAAAAAACGTGTAAAATATGTACGAAGCGAAATATAAATGCACTAATAAAATTTTCAACACTGTCAGAATGCTAATGAAAATTAAAATTAAAATGTCTATTTTGAATACTTCACAAACTTTTAAGTATTATTAAATAAAAGTTATTATTTCTGAAAAAATTCAAATTTATTCACACGAATTTGAAATTATTAAAATTAGAAATGGAATAATTGAAATAGGAATATAATAAGTGAAAGTAATATGAAATCAATTTTGACAAGAAAATGTAATTTTGACATAGAAATAAAAACCGTCCATCACGTCTACTTGACAAGTATTATTAATACTATAATTTTAATAATTCTTGTCAAAATCGAAATTACATTTTCTAATATTATTAATTATTAATATTATTGATTTATTTCACTTTAGAAGAGATTTAAACGAATACTTTGACAGTTTTTGCTGAGTACTCACAATTGCAAGCAATCAAATTACTGTTTCAGTCTGAAAATTGGAAGACTTAAAGCAGTAATTTCATTTCAAGTTCATTCTTAGTTTCAGTACGCAAACAACTCAACCACCCACACTGTTGTATATACTTCGACTAGTTTTCAAGTAAAGTATTAGAAGTTGAAGAAATCAATCAAAATATGCTCAATTCAAAACTTTTTTACACAAAAATTGGCATTATTTTCAGAGAAAAATAAAGTCTCTTTTTTTGCAATTTTCGAATGTCAAATTTTTGCTAAATTTCACTTTAATTTCAAACAATTCCGTGTTTCATGGCAAAATGCAACGCAAACATTTAGCACTTTGAATGCAAGCGTTTTGCATCACTCGACAGTATGTATCTTCACTTCTAAGTTCACGAATTATTCGAATTTATTAACCAATTTTTATTGTTTTTGGAATCACCCATGAGTGGGCATACTCACTGATACTCACATGATTTAATATCTATACAGTAAAAAGTCAAAGGTCATGATAGAAAGAACAGTATGAAGATTGCATGATATATATTAGACTAGTATTCGTCGAGACTAACTCATTGCACAAATTGTCAAACATAAATTTGAAAATACACAAAGCTAAAATTCAATTTTTTTATGTGAACATATCATGCTTAAAAATAGTTAAATGAGACAGACGGAAAATCGTATTAAAAGTGAAGCATAGAATGTTAGGAATTGCTAAGTATGGCCTTCTGATTGATTACTGATAAGATCAATTGATTGGATTTTAATCAATGAAAGCAATGTAACATTACAATGTGCAAACAAAAGAGTCGGAAAAGTGGGCAAATTTGTAACTCAGAATTATAGTTCAGTGAACTTTCCCAAAATGAAATCCAGTCAATACAACGGCAAATAATTTCTTGCTTCGAGTTGAAAATTTTGTTCAAAATTTGAACTTTGACATTTGTTATTGCAGCTTAAACAATTCTCAGTATTGTTTCTGTGGATACAGCAAATTACTTAATTGTGATGATACTATTCCCTTAACTTAAAATTAACAATTAAGAGCATTAAAATGAGCTTCACCTTTGACATCATTCACAACCTAAGACCAGTTCTGTCATTTGTACTTCTGAATCAGCTGAAAGCTGTAACAGCTTAACTTCTCAAGTAAGAAAGCTAGTACATTAGCGAAATTTCTTGCAGATACTAAATTTTTATGGTCTGCGAATATCGTTAAGTGGTCAGAGTGGAAAGTGCAAAGAATAAACATTAAAACCGTGGAGTAAAGATCACAAGGAAATCATTGCATGCAAACAGTTCAAGTCAAAGTCAGTATTAGTTCAATGAATTATGCAAATTTTATCGTTTACAATAGATTTTTTGTGGAAATTCATTTCTGACTCTTAATTTTATAGTATAAAACTTGACATTCCATTATCTGAAAGCAAAAATTTTGAGTCACAACAAAGAATCTGATTATCTGAAGAGGACTTATGGTGATAATGGCGTTGGTACGAGACAACTGGTATATCCCATTGGATAATTTAAAAGGTTAAGGGGTCAGACAGTCTTGCCAAAACTCTCTGCAATCGCTATTCTATAATCAATAGAACCATCAATTGATTTGCATCCCCTTGACAGGTGTGCAAGCAAAAGAATTTTTGACCCAATCAGAATATTACCTGGAACATACACGCAGGTCATATGCAAATGAGAAGGGTATTGGAAGCTTTATCAAATGAGCAATAATGATAAGTCATTTTAAATAATAATTCGCACAAATTAATGGCAAAATAATCGTATTTATTTGGTAGAACGATACGTTTCTGAAGGATAATCTGCGCAAAGTTGTATTGAAAATTAGTTCAAATAATTTATTCAAATGCAAAAGTTGTGAAGTGGCCGTGAAATTTTGTGAAACAACGACGATCTTGCGATGAGTGTGAAGTAATTTTGAGAAGAGATAACGAAAAGTGTACAGAAATATACTCTGACGCAAGTATAAAGTTTTAGAAAACAAATATTCATAGAGGGATCATAGCAAACAATTTTTGAATCAATTCGCTTGCACGAAGCTACCAAATTCGATGCACACAGCTTGAACAGCTTGAATTGTCACAGCTAAACTGACAGTTTTCAATGTCATATCTGTGCTTCTGTTGTTCATTGAGTCATTACTGTTTTTTACTTATGAAAATTTTTGTGCTTACATGTCTGATTACATTTCGACTACTTTCTTCAACGTAGACGACACTTTTTAAGTGACTAGAAATGACATACAGAATCCTTGTGAAACAGTAAAAGTATCTGAAGTGATAAAGTAAGAAAGTGGTGCAAAAAATGAAGGAAAATGTGCGTTATGAATTTGTACTTTTTATTTCGCTTAATTTAATTAAAATATACTGAAATTATCAAAATTTTGTTGAAGAAAAATTGCTTACAAAGTTTATTACTGAAACGTATAATTTCGTACAATACAATTTGTGGCAAACATTGCATAAAATTACTTACTCAGTGCGAAGTCAGTGCTCCAATAGAATACAAACTACAAACTGTTATTTATGTAATTATAAGTGTGAAATAAGTTATCAGAACTTGAAAATTACGTGATATGGATTTTGATTATGCTAAAAATACAATAATGTAAGTATTAAAACTACTTGATAGTTTTAAAAGTGCTTTCATTGTACTCTGATTTTTCTACAGTTTCCTTCACCGCACCACTACCTATCTCTTCTTACTCATTCTGATCACGCTAATTTCAGAATCAAACTTTTGCTGCTTGCATTTCGCTTTGAAATAATACTTTCATAGCTTAATGTCGTGAATTATTAGTAATACTAAAAAGGATACTAAAAATTACGCAAGACTTCTAATAAATGCTTTATGTAATTACTTTAGAATGACACTTCGTGTGTTCATTTTTTTAATTAAAATTTCTTGCAATGCAATCATTTTTCAGGTATTTTTTGTAACGAAAAATATTTTCATTGTGCTGACAAATATGACCTTTGACATCGTAATGTTCATTTCTGACAGCAGTAAAGATAGGCATATCAGAAGTGAATATTATTGAGCACTTTAACGAATCAGAACTTTTTGTACAAAATAAGCAGAAAGACAGAGATCAATGCAAAGTTCACTAAAATTGACAAGATAATATAACACTCCAACATATTGATCGGATCTCTGCAACTAACTTTGACCCCAGTTTTACTGATAACGATGGTATTGCAATAATTTCACTTCTTGAATACATATCGAAGAATACTCTGCAGTAAGTAATTACCTTGATCAACTCCAGATACTTCTGAATGCTTTTACATGTTGCTTGCACTAAATTATAATCAATCTGAAGAGTTTCTCCTTCATTCCCCAAATACGATGTGATGATTGATTTGATCACTCTTCTGGCATAGTTGCTTCAAACTTGAATAGTTTTCAACTTTACTAATAGTAAAGTAAAGTAAGTGACAAATTAAGAGTAATTGAAAAGAACTTTTTACTTGCTTACATTTTCTCCTTCATTATATCATTGTTTGTGAAACTAATTTTTATATTTTCAAATTGAATACCACGCAAACTCTTAAAATCCAAGAATTATTTCGATTTTTTAGTCACACAAAAATTTCCTTTATCTTCACCAAGAATGTCTCCGTTTCCGCAAATATCTTCTTGACAGTCAATCATAGCTTAAACTTTCACGTACAGAGTACACTTCAGGAATCCCTGACATTGCTCGCATAATTATAGGGTACGGCGCAGTGAGCAGAAATAGCAAATAAAAAGAGACGTAGGTACAACAGAAAGTGCGACAACAGTGTTTATCAGTGAAAAAGTAGACGATCCTTATCTCCTAAGAAACTTTGACCGGACTGATAAATGCTAAACTAGACTACACGTCATGACTTGCGCGACGGACTAAAATCCTACAACAAAAGTTAGCAAGCCAGAAAATTGATACTGAAAGTCACACTAAAAGTAATTCTCCAAATTACGGCGGGACTTCCTACTAAACTACGTCACATTCTAGGCTATTCTAAAGCATGAAGAATGCAAAACAAAGTAATACGGAAAAACTAGAATAAATTTACGATTCATCGATACGATGCAATATCAAATTGTGACGTGCTATAAATTAGTGCTTTGCGATATCAAAATCCTCAAAGAAACATTCACATATAGAAGTTCGAGTAACTAACATTCCTTCCGAGATATGCGGCAGTAAAATTTGAGTATAATTTGCAAATTCTTGCAGCACCGAATTACAATAACAAATTCATTAAATCAGAAATTCTTATTTACGTACAGTGATGGATTTATGGAATGCGACTTTTGATTTCTGACCTTTAACCTGCAATGTAAGCGATGTTTCCCATTTCCTGTTGGTATTTCTATAGGACTGGAAAATTCAGAAAAAGTAGAAGCAGAGGAGAAACTGACAAACTTTCCTTTCACTGACCACTTGATACATTACATTTACTGTGTGAAAATACCATTGAAAGTGGAAATACACGCAATAAATAATTTTTACATTATTAACAAGTAATATGTATATTATTAATTTGCGTATCACTGATATTTGAGTGTTAGCTCCCACTAAAATACTGCAATAACGTGCAATAAATGGATGGAAATGCATTGCGCGTGACCAGTTTCCCCCACATAAATGTAATGATACCACCCGACGTGAAACTTATTCTCAATATTCAGTATTAGTCACGTGAGAGAACTGAAAATATTTCGCAGCAAGCATTCAAAACTACCAATCAGCATTAAGCAATAGTCACGTGACTTAACATGAAAAAATTGCACTGAATGTGACCGCTTTCCCGTAAGTAAAACTCACGTTTACTCTTTAGATACAGTGCTTGTAATGACCTCTTAAAGACTGCAATCTATTTCCCAAATATGATTCTGGTAACCAAATAACAACTAGCAATAGACATAATCGAAAGCAATGCTACGTATTTTTCGTTCTCAACCATGCTCAAACGTTTTGTCTAACCGTCAGGTTCTCTCATTTTTATGTAGTGTAGCACTTAAGGAGGTATAATTTAAGAAAATTGTAGCCTCGAATAATTTAAAGACTTCATTTAGCGCTAAAAGTTTCTCTCCTTCCTTTTTTTGTGATTAGGTAGACTTCAGTTCATTATTGATTGGTATGAAATTAATACTTTCTACAATTTGATAGTTGCAGGCAAATTCATTATTGACAGGAATCTAGATTTTATACGACTGGGTAATTGTAATGGAACAACGGGAAGAGCACCTGCTAAATTTGGCACCTATGCGTGTTCGACGTGATAGCATGGAATCAACTGTTGCTGATTGTGAGTCATTTTTTCTCCTGTAATGAATTTTTGTATTATTTCGTGTCATAACTAGTGCTAGAAATTAAGACTCAAACTCGTTTTCGTTTTCAATTAGTTTTTTATTTCATTTTTAATTTAATTTACATCTTAGTAATTCAGATCTGGCTCATGAAGCGTTGTATTCTTCTCAAGCAGGCTTTTTACAATCAGAAACCGATTGCGCAACGTTTTTTACGTCACCTGATGCATCATTAGAACTATCTGATACTGAAATAATTGATGAGCTGGAATTTGACGAGCCATTAGAGCGTTTTATGCGGAATGAAATCGCATACAATGAATTCATGGAGATGACAGGTCGGATATGTTTTTATTTTGTCTTTTTAAAATGATTACTTTTCTTGCGTGGGTCAGATGCATATATTTTGTTTTACAAAAGAGTATATTTGTCATAAATATATTTTATCCTACATAGAGACTCTATAAGTATTTTGTTATGCTTATATATTACCAGTTATATCTCGAAAAACAAATATATTGATAGCAGATATTATCAGTTATATGTTGAGAAACAAAATACTTATTCAGAGCTTACGTTCAGGTAATATTTGTATGACACTATAATTTTCAGGGGGCATCGGTCTTGATGAAGAGGAAGCAGATTACTTTGATGTTGAAGGTAGCTTCTACAGTTTTCATAATTTGATATTTTCTCCAGCAGCTGGTGATAAATAACTTAGAGCTTCTTAGTTCACTAACAAAGTATTTAAGGAAAAACTTTTCAGATAGGGAATATGGCAAACGGTTGAAAACGGATTTTACATTGCCAGAGTTCGTTTATTTTTGTTTGCCTTTTTTTTTGATAATGATATATTTTTCTGTGATTTAAGAATTTCGTCATATGTCTATCTAATTCAGAATTTTTGGTGAATATTTTCAAACTAGTGGTGATAAAGAATTGACTTATCTTTTTGTAATTTAAATAAATGAATTACGTTGTTTTATAACAAAAATAAGTTAGCTCCATTTTTTTTGTTGATAAAAACGGTATTATCTCTATTTTCAGTGCAAGTTTGGACATAGAAGGTGACAATGAAGAACTGTATGATGCTGATTATAGTTTAGACGACACTTTTGACGACATAGGAGATATACAGGTCAAGCCCTCTGTGAGTGTTCTTATTTTAAGTTTCATGTTTTTTTGATGAAAGCACATTTTTCTTTCCTGATTACGAGTCATTTGTTGGTCATAAAATTTAATGCGTGCTTTAATGAGTAATTCGATTTTTTTCTGTTTTTTTGTGCAAAAGCATAGTAGAATGATCCATGCAAGTTTCAACTGGTATATTAATTTTCCAGGAATCCTCAGCTTCAAAATTGACTTCACATGAACGAACTCTTGAAGAAATAGATGAAGATCGGCTGTTAGGTATCCCTCTTGAGCTCAGAAATAATGAGCCAGTTTCGGGATCGTCTGTTAAAGTCACTGGATCTGGAGGAGAGAGACGAACAAGAAAAAACAAGTATTTCTCGTTTTAGAGTCTTGTATCCAAAGTTCTTCTAGATATGCTCCAGTAAAGGATATGGTATTTGAGGTCTAAATGGTTTGTCATATCACATATTTTTGTTGCATATTCAGGACGTTAGAAGCTTTGATTGGGCAAGCGAATGTTATTTATGCAAAAGGACAAACAAAAGAAGCTTTAACGATGTTGCAAGAGGTACGCAGTTTACTAGTGCAGCACTGAAAGATTTGATGAATCTATGTGGAATACTTATATCATGTGCTTTATGGGGGAAAAGTGTTTAAAGTTACTTTTGAATTACTCTCTTCGGTTTTTAGGTGATCAGGCAAGAACCACGCAATCCTGAACCATATCGACAAGTTGCCGGTATATACAATGACTTGAATCAGCCTGATAAATCTTTTCAGTATGGCTTATTAGCTGCTCATTTAAGTGGTACCCGTGCATCTGCTGTTGAATGGGAAGAATTAGGAAATTATGCTCTAAAACTGCACAAAATTGAAGAAGCTGCTGCTTGTTATGGAAGAGGTTTTTTTTTGTTGTAGTAATTGTCGATAATTGCTGCAATTTTGTTCAAAGGAGAAGTAGTTATAGTCATTATAGGTTTCAGTATCTTATTTCTACCGAGTTTATGTTTTTTTACATTTATGGCAACACACTCATGTTTTCAGTCAATTTTCATTAAGTTGTGTTATTATATCAGTATTTTATAGCAATACGAGCTGATCAAACTAATCATTTTTTGTACGAAAAAAGAATTGATGCACTTGAAAAGGTGGGACTTAATGCTCTTGCCATGCGGACACGATTTATGGCAGCACAGTCAGTTAATCGAGAGCAAGTGGATTTCGAATGGTTTCGAAATATGATAACTATTGTAAGTGTGAAAGACTAGATGCTTTCTGGAGATAGTAGAGAACTTTTTAACAAAACATTAAAAATGTCATGATTTGTTAAGTGTTCGAGACTTATGTGCGAATAGAAACAATATTTTGACTTACTATCCCCTCTGTGGATTGGAACGGTGCAAGTTTTCGAAAGTTTTTCCTTTTATAAAATGATTTGCAGATCAATATAACTTTTTGTAGGCAGCTGATCATTATATCAAGTTGGACGATGAGCAAAAAGCTATAGCAGCATTAGAAACATTTGTCCTTCGCAGTCGTGAATATAATCGAGATGCTACAGAACAACTTGAAATTGTTATTGGTAACTTTTATAAATATTATGCGATTGTTCTTTAATAACATAGAAGCGCTGATAGTTTTTAGATTTACTGATGAATAGTCAACGTTTCGGAGATGCTGCAAAATCTATTTTCGCTCTTTGTCCTGGAATTGCCGCTGTTGACAACAGGGGGCGCTTTGCTATTGAAGTGAGTCGATTTTTTCATTTTTTTATCATATAGGGAAAAGTAACTCAGACTACAATACTCAAAAAAATGCATACGTCATCAAGCAAGTTAGGAAGTGTTACTTCTATCTTGATGATCTTCTTATCCATATATTTAAAATATTTAGATCTATTACAATGGTTAACGTCTTAAATCCGTGATTGCTTATTCATATTTTCTAATTTTATAAATTTAGTATCAAGTTCAGCAAAACTTTTTATAAAAAAAGTTGCCTTTAAGTTCAGGCATTCTGGTTATCTTTTTTAACAAAATTTAGATCATATACAACAATGCAAGCTACATAGTGAAATCATTTCCCCCTGATGAAGAGCATCATTTTCTTATTGATGAAAGATTGTCATCTGTTTTACTAGCACGTCTTGTTATTTGTTTCATCAGGATTGGTTGCAAAAATTTGGTTCCGGTAAGGTTTATCTCTAAAAGTCATTTAATTTTTTGATTTTTATTTAGAATTTCGGAGTTAAAAAAGGTGAAAGAAGCACATTTTTGTATGCGAATCTATTGTGATTTATTGCTTTAATTTTCTTATTAAATAAAAAATTCTCATTTTTTCGAGTTCGTTGCTTGCAATGTATATTTTTTAAAGATGTTTTATCTCTAGTAATGAATGAAAGTTCATGAGTAATTAAAATGCAATGCATTTATAGAAAAAGCTAAGTTGCTGTGATATCTGCTGGGATTTGTCAAACAGTAGTTATAAACACTTGAAGTCTAACTGGATAAGAACGTATCGTTTTTTAAATAAGTTAATCATAATAACTAGTTGTGAAATATCAAATCCTTTTCTTTACAGACTCTTGTAGACAAGCTGTTTGAAAGGCCTGTGAATCTTGATAATCAGCAATTATATTTGGATATAGCACGTTCTTATCATGCCGTTGATTGTGTTGCACACGCTCAAAAATATATTGAGCATTTGTTATCTCGTTCAGAGTTTTCAGATGTATCTGAGGCATGGTTCTTATATGGACTTTATCTTTCTGTAAGTTTTTTAGACTTTCATCTTCTCGAGTGATTCAGGATTATGACCAAGATAACGTAATCATGATTTTTTGATAGTGTCAAAGCTGTAATTTCTCAAACGTATTTTTTTACGCTTTCAAATTTTAGATTCGCAAAAAATATATAGAAGCTTGTAAAGCATATCACCATGCATTGGATCTCCAGCCGTCACATGTTGATGCACGTATTAATTACTCATCTATTCAACAGCGATTAGGCATGGTTGAAGAAGCGTTTGAAACGTTACGAGATTACGTGTTGGATGCAGGAAACAGTATACCAGTATTTGTTTCAATTTTTATATGCTGGCTTCAAAATTATTACTCCATAGTTTGATCATTTTTTGCGAAGCCAATTAAATGTAGTGTGTCACGCAACCTTTTTTGAGTGACAATATTTTCTGACATCATTTCACTTTTTATTTGAATTGGATCATTCATTTTTTTTTGTATTTTTAAAGGACATCATTTATTTGCTCCCGTCTATACCAATTTTTAGGATGAAAGACTGTTGATACGTCAAGCTGACTTTTTGTTCGAGCGCAAACGAATGGAAGAGTTTTCTCGTTGCGTGCGTATGATGTTGGCTCCCCATTTCTACGAAATCTATTCAAACAATATGGCTTTACTTAAAAAAAGGCTGTCAGCAAATGAAAAAGGTGCTAAGATTGGTTGCTTACTGATTTTTACAATATTATTTTCCCGCCTTCGAAAAACTTTCATTTTATCTATCAATGTTTGACTTGGTTTTGATTGATTCAAAAACTTACCTAATGACGACTTTTTCTGTTAAGGCGTACATCATGGGATTCGTATACAAGCGTTCAATGCAGTCCGTGGTTCGGCCCTTGAAAAATACGTTAAACGTGTTGGCGAATTCGCAGCAATGGAAGAGCGTACGCCGAGTGAAATATCAAGTACTCAGGTTAGCTTTTCTCTAACAAATTCACTTCAAAATCAGCTAACAGTATACATGATTGAAGCATGTTCAGTAAGAATTTCATTATGTATTGAGTATGATCATGAAAACTCTTTTTGGTGATTTGGTCTTTTGTTAGGATTACTGTTTGTTTGTTTCCAAAAAAAAGACATCTGCATAATCTCTTATTATTTTTTTGTCTTTCTTCGTCTGGCAACTGTAAGCTTACATGAAATTTCATTAAAACAAAATGAAGTAGGAAGTGAGCAATTTCATTGTTTCTGCTATTTTTATAATTATTTTCATGTGAGTAAGTTAATATTCTTTTCACACCATTTAAAAGACAATTTTCTTGAACACAATACTTTTCAGTGAACTGCACCATAGTTAAATTTCTACACGGTTTTTTAGATGTCTCGTTTAATTAAAACTGACCTTATCTGCATAAAAACTTGTTTGTCATTTACAGATGCATGATTACTGTTTGAAATTGGTGGAGACATTTTTAAATCAAGAACGGTTTTTGGATGCGTTACACGTGTGCTGCTATGCTTATTTACAACCACTTATCAGCAAAAATACGAGGTAAATTTTCTCAAGCAGTGTCGTTGAAGTCCCAAACTAAATATTCAAACTTTATGTCGGTGGTGATTTGGCAATTTTGATTTTAATTCTGATTTGATTTCGATTCAGGACATTGGAAACGTTCCAGAATTTACTTTTGTTTTGCTCAATTAGTGCGCATTCTTGGCATCTGGCATTCGAATACATCCGATGGTACCATACTCTTTCGATGGTTAGAAATACATTATCTTTAACTTTCTGAATGTGTTCTAGTTAAATAACGGCAAAATTTAATTCCATGTCAGTTAAGTTAGCTTACATTTTTTGTTCTGGCGGGTAGTTTGTAAAAATTCTGTGAAAGATGAATTATATAATTTTTATGCAGAGTTTAAAACATATTTCTGAATATCTCTTTTTTTGAACTTGTCACAGTTTATAAATGCATTTATTTTACTAATTCAGATTTATTGATTCGATGTACTTTGTATTTTCATGCAATTAAATTTTATGCTATTCATAGAATAATCAATCAGTCATGTCAGCATCAGACCGTGATCTTCTATTTACTCGTATTTTCAATGCAATGAATTTTGTTTTTTGTCGTTCGCAAAGTGTCACTTACCATCGTTTCATAATGAGGGCACTTACACGCACTCCGAACAACTTTGCACTTCAAATAATTTCTGGGAATAATTCTTTAATTACTGGTGCATATCGTCATGCTCTAGGTAAATAATGTCTTAATAGTATAAGTCTATAATTTCGTCTAATATCTAGTAGTGAAATATGAGATCTTCACAAAAACTGTTTTGGATACTTTAAAAGTCATTTTTCGTATAAATGCAAAAAGTTCATATTTTTCAGGCGAATATTTGCGTGCTTGGAAACAAAATCCTGATGATCCACTTGTTTGCATGCTTATTGGATTGACTTTTATTCATATATCTTGCAAAAAAGATATTTTCAGTCGTCATATGGTTGCACTGAGAGTACGTTATTTTTTACCGTGTTATTTTTATACAGAACAGCAGTAGACAGTCTACTAGTTTTAATTTGTTGAAGATTCTGATGTCAATTTTTCTTTAATTCTCAAATTTATTGAAAGTGTTCTTTAGAGTTAGGTCGTGAAAACTTTATGAATAACAAAAAAATGCACATGGAGCACTGTTATAGAAATTTTAGATCTTCATTTGTTGTACTAGAAACTATTCATAGTAATACTCATCTCAAGGGTGTGGCATTTATGAACCGATATCAAAGATTACGTGGTAATAATCAAGAAACTAATTACAACATAGGAAGAATGTTTCATCAAATGAATATTTTACCGTTAGCGATGCATTTCTACGAAGAATGTTTAAAGGTTTCTTATTTATTACTTGTAAAATTTGTAATTCAGGTTGGGCCATATTTGGCTGAAAGGAGTGGAAGCAAACTGAAACTTTGAAAAGAGTTAAACTTAAAAGAATTCTGTTTTTAGGCCGATATTCCAAAACTTGTAATTACAGATGGAGAAAGCGGGAAACAACGTTTAGTAGAAGATGAGAGGTTAATTTTTATCTTCTTTTGTGAGGCGATTTTATTTAGAAAAGTAATTTTAAAAAAAAGTTTCGTCTTTTGTTTCAGTCAATATTGCTTAATAAATAGAGGGATGTTTCTAATTGTAAATACGTGATTAAGATATTTTCGCTCAAATTGATGTTGATGTAGTTGGATTCTCGTATTTCAAAGTTACATACTTCAATTTAGGTATGATCTTCGGCCGATAGCTGCACATAATCTATCTTTGATTTACACTGCAAGTGGAAATTATTGTGTTGCTCGAAATTTGTTGGAAACTTATTGCTGCATGGAATGAATTTCAAAAAAGCTTAAAAAATTAGTTGTGTAAAATATTTCAATGATTATAAGTTAAAGAAAATTCTATTCCGGAAACTTAAATAATAGAAACTATGCTCTGTATGTACAATTTTTTAAGCGTACATAACTACAGAATTTTGAACAGGGATGTATGGAGTCAAATAACTGTGATCATGTATACAAATATGGTTCTTAATATTTGTTTCCGGGACAGAATTTTTGTTTCTCTGACTCAGTTATTCTCAATTTTTCTGTGTAAATAATTACAGTTACTCGCTAGTTTTTTGTACCTGTTATTTTGAAATCAACAAATATGTATAGCAAAGGAAATACTTTGGCATATCTTTTCCATTACTCGTATTTCACCGTTTTTAAGTTTTTGTCGTATTAGTCAGTATTATAAAGCAAACAGATACTGTCAGTTTCATGGAAGTAAAACAGAAGTTTGCTTGACAAATGATAATTTGGAGAGTTTGTAATGTTTGTATTTTATTAACTCTTTTACGTTTTTGACAAAAATGTCCCTATGATCTCTCATATAAAAACTTACTTGCTTACGCGTTTATGTATCGCTCTGGATTTTTCATTTAATCCAAATAGTTTATCTCTCCTCATTATCGACGTTATTTATGAAAGGAATGGCAAGAATGCATTTTGGTGTTGAAATGGAAATGAGCATTTATCCTACAGTTGTGTTCTAAGAATTTTTTGCAGCAATATTTGTTGTCTTGGAGCCTCACAAGGTATGGATAATAAGCAGGATCATGAATGGGAGCTAAATCGTGAAAATATCAGACCACTTAGAAGTGGCCGAAGGGTGCAGTCCATAAATAGTGTTTTTAGTGGTGAGTTTTCGTGGAAAAGTTTTTTAAAGCCAATATTCATTAAATGAGATAAGGGATTTTCTGGCTCAACTGTTTGGGTGTCCGAATTAAAGTTGGTAATTATATACTGGAAGAAGTTCAGCATGTAAGTGTCTTTTTATTCATTGTTTTGATTGAAAAGGTAAAGGTTGACATTACTTACTCTTTGATGTAGTAGATATATTCGTAATGTATAATAGAGAGTCGGAAACAATTTGAATACTTCGTTTTCAAACATCGACCTTAACGAATGGCATTTAAAATATAGTATTCATTTGATTGTGATTTGTTTCATTTGAATCAACCAAAATGAATTTTTTGATACTTGATGCACATATCAAATTCATTTACGTATTCGCTTAAGAATTCAGTTAATACCTTGAAAGAGTGCTTGTTCCAAAATGAAGTATTTAAGCTGTGATAAGCAGGCTTCGAAATTTTATAGGAAGGAAGAGAAGAAAGAACTGAAGTTTTTTCATATTTAGGGCCAAAAATCTCTATAAGTGAAGCAGAGAAACGGTTTGAAAAAGATTTTGAACTTGCGAAACATTCGGATAACCCACTGGATATTTGCATAAACTTTGTTAAATGGTTCGAGGAAAATTTCCCAACAGGTTGCTTTGTAGTTTATTCAATTTTTCTGCAAGTTGTATTTCACGGTTTTCTGAGAAAAATGTGCCTGATTGTAACGTTTTCATTTTAAGATTGCTTTATGTAGACTTTCATTCTAAGGCACAGGTTATGAGATATTGAATACGTCAGTGACGTTGAGGAATATAGTAAAAGGAACTGAAGTTTCTTTCATATGCAAAAACAGTGCAGCTATTGATCAAGATATATGCATACCGCATTTTTATATTGAATTTTTAGTTTTAAATATGTTTTACAGGAAAACAATCTCACCTTTTCTCAGTGTTGACGAGGATAATTAATGCATTTGGATATCGTGAAGAATATTTGAACGATGAGAGAATGTTGAGATTTTGGATAAAACTAACTGAAAATAAATCAGATGCAAACGTAGATACATTTTTTGAGCGTGCATATCTTGCAGGATGTTGTCGTCGTTTGGCTAAATTTTATGTTAGATGGGCTGAAGTAAATTTTTGACTCTTTTTAGACAGTATATTTGAAATTTATTCAGAAACATTGTTTTGTAGTTTGAAAACTTTTTCGACAAAATTATGGTGCATAGTCAAAAGTATGTAATTAGTAGAACCTATTTTCGTGTTTTTGTTAATTACCAAAGATTTATTGCCCTCAGTATCGATTTCTATTGTAGGATTTTAACTTGGTTTTTGAAAAAGAATCCGCAAATGTGATTTAAGGTTCGTGAAGATTCGCAAAATATTAATGGAGCTCGGGCAGTTTTAAATCATGGCAGGGAAAATTTTGCTGAACCGGTTAATTTGTTGAATGAAGCATCTGACGCATTGGAAATGCGCCAATTACGAATGATGATGAATTTGAGTGATGCTGATGATAACGAAGTTGATGAGGTCGAACTGAATATGAATCGATTAGCACTTGGCCAGTTAGCTGGTAGTATTTTATTATATTAATTTTATCATTGTATATATTTTAAATATTGAGTCATGAAAGGTGGACTATATCCAAGTTACTTTACATGAATGAAAAATTATTCTTGGGGTTATGTTCATTGTCAAATTCATTGCTGGTAAAAAATGTTCAACAGAAGCAGCTCATAATTTATTTATGATTTTTAGGTTTGGGGCCGAATCGAGAAGCTCCAGTGGTCCGTGACGCTTTTCGAAAACCAGGAAGTTTATACAATCCCAGCCAGTCACAAAGTACGTTACATGAATTTGCAAAAGAAAAGAAAGGAAACAACTTCCAAATTTATCAGGTATTCGTTCTTAGTAATTTCAAGAGCCAATAAAATTTGAGATTCATACCTTGAGAAAATTTTCTTTGTAAAGAAATACCTCTTTATTTTGGCAGAATTTTTTAATATCCTACATAGATATAAGATTATCTTTCTACTAGCTTATCATCTTTTATGCTTTAAATAATTTGTGTACAGTGTAATTTAGGGTGATGAAGTATTTGACGATGGAAATTTGTTAGTTCCAAGAAGTTTTGGAGATGATTTAGCTCACGTCGCATTAGTTCAAAATAGCTGGGATCCCACAAAATGGAAGGATGCAAAGATTGATGGTATACCCAAAAAAATTGAAAGATGTGAGATCCCCTTTTCGGTGAGTATATATAGATTTAATGGAAATATTACCTGCAATAGATTTGTATTATATCACTTCCTAAAACTAGTTTTTCGATTTCATTTACACTTCTTATAGGTTTATGATGACAACACAATTGATTTGCCGGAACACAAATTAATGAAGAAACATTCACGACTGCTTGTCGCAAACAAAGTTTGTGAACTAATTCGATTCTTTAATCTGATTTTATGATTCACTCTGTAATGTGTAATCAGTATCACCAAAAATTTCATTTCTACGCTTTTTCTTCTATTTATAAATACGATTATCAAGATGATATGGGATAGCAGTAGAACAACAATTCATTAATATAATTTTAATTTAGTTCTATCTTACAGGTTCTTTCAGTGGAAGAATTATTTGCTCAGCAACTGAAACTATAATCCTTAATTTTGACGCAATGTATTACTTGCAAAAAGTTTCTGAAATTCAGTATCAGTGATTTGTGTCAGGAAGCTTTTCAATGTTGATAATCCGCATTATTAAAAAATGTGAGGAATCACAGTAACTTTTCAAAGCAGTTTAGCAACAGTTTTATTAATTTTTGCAATTAAACGCACCCAATTTCTAATAAATTTTATAGTGCGATGATTCATTAGCATTAAACTTCTTTACTTGATCGTTTTTTGACTTTTAATATTTATGCTTTTGCTACTTTGTCAAGTTAACACATTTCTGCTTTAAATATTTGTTTCATACTTTACTTTTTTAAAATTTGTCAGTGCTTGAGACGACGCTTGTTTTTGACGTCTGCTTCATCAAGAAATTTTCATTTCGTTGATAAAAGTTTCTTCTAACATTTTCTTCACTCATTTCTTGAAATGATGTAAGATGTAGAAATATGTGCAATGTTTTAGCGAACCCGGCTACTTTCAGCCTTCGAACGTAGTTGTTTTATTCAGCTGAAACCAAATGTGGTTACACTATTTGTCTTTTATATTTTTGGACTGATATTCATATTGTACATATCACATATATTATTCCACTCACATTTTGTAATACACAACTATGGTATGTATTTAAACCTTGATGTCTTTTAAAATCTATGTCCACTAGATTTGATCTTCAATCTAAAATGCAATTGTTTCCTGAATATTTTGTACTTATGAGCAATATCTGCTAGTGTTTAACGCTGTAGAAAAAGCTAGACTACTGTTCTCTTGTGCAGTAAAAATTGTCAAATTCCCTCTGAATATTCTTTTTTATACTTAAATAAAGTTGACTTAGAAAATATTCATTTCGTCATCCGTACAATTGTGCGTCATTTATATGTACTTCCTATCACATATAATCATGAAGTTGAACTGGGCTCCCTCGTAAAAAATGTCAGATTTATTCCACGCTTTCGCATGAAAACTAGTGGTAGTGGCATGACCTTTCCATTCGGTATAAATCCTAAAGAGCTGTCTTTCCAGTCGACATAAATGTGCAATATTTTATCTTCGGATGATGTATGCTGTTTCATGAAAACAAAAAATATCACTCCTTTTACAGAACGGGGAAACCGTCCATGTTAGTTTGTCGTACAAATTTTTCACGTACTGAATTACTAGGAGATGTTTGTACTGGCATTAATGGAGGATACTGTGCGTATTGCACCTCATCAATTTAATGAACCATTTGAGTCGGTAAGGTAAATATCGCATTTGTGACTGCTGTCATTTAAAAAAGTAGTCTCTAATTTATAATCAACTTGAGCTTAGTAAAAAGGTATCATCAGACTTAGCCTTATATTTGTGGATTTAATGGGGAAATTTTGTCGTTAAAAACCTTTAAATCTTCAAAATTGTTCATGAATAGACTTAGAACCACTATTGAATTCAGTTTTAAAGAACTGCTCATAAAGGATGTATTAAAATGATTTGAGTGAAAATCTCATCAGTATTTCAGGTGCTCACGAGACGTTTAAATGAACAACTTGCAAACAAAATTGTACCGGGTTTGGGTTTATGCATTGTAATTTATGATATCGTTGAAATTGGTGCCTCATATATTTTACCTGGGGATGGTAGTTCACATACAAAAGTTAAAGTAAGTCAGAGATTAATGATACTTGTACTTCATTTTTGATGAACATTTCTCGAGTTCCCAACATTCATGGAAAACTTTCGTTGGTACCAATCTTTACATCGAGAAAGTAATGTGATATATAATGATACAGATAAATTCTTAGTACAGCATGCTCATGTTTAATTTCTTTTGGTTTTATCCTTAAAAATCCAAATCATAATAAGGACAAAAATAGAAAGCAAATGCTTGTTTAGTAGTAATTATTAGAACTGGTACAATTCTATGAAATAACGCAAATTACTGTTTGTGAAGGTTATAACTTTTTGCCACCATTTACTGGATGAATCTTAACTGTTTCAGTTTCGATTCATCGTTTTTCGACCATTCATCGACGAAGTAATTGAAGGGAAAGTATTGTCGAGTAACAGAGAAGGATTAACGATATCTCTGATATTTTTTGAAGACATATTCATACCAGCCCATCGTCTGCCACATCCCTCAGTTTTCGAGGAGGAAGAACAGGTACATACAGTTTGAGAGAAAATAAAGTGGTGAACCATATTTATCAAAAATTATGTCATTCTGTGATATTGTAATAAAAAATGCTGCCTCATTTAAGGTTTGGTATTGGGAATATCATTGTGAAGATGGACAAATTGCAAAACTATACATGGATCCAGGAAAAATAGTTCTTTTTCGAATTGTTGAAAATGTTTTCAAGTAATGTTTCTTATGCAGTAAAAAAATTTCAGAGAGATGTTGGTTGATATTAGAAGTGCGCATTACCTTGATAGAAAAACACAGACAGACAAAACATGGAGAAAGATATGAATTAAATAGATTAGTGCAATTCTTATGAATGTTACGAGTACTGTTAACTAGAGAAAAGATTAGAGTTTGAGAAGTACTTGTATGATATCATTAAAGGGATATAGACCCAGAAAGCAGCCAGGATGAGTCGAAACGCGAAAAATCTTATCAAATCATTGGATCAATGGCTGAAACCGGCTTGGGATGCAAGCTGTGGTGGGTATCTAACGAGGATTCTGATGATTAGGGGCAAGAGATGAAGGCTGATCAAAATGAGACCTGATTTGATAACCTATTGTCATGTCAACGATTCTTAATGATTGAATAAATTTTTAATCGAATAAACAATTATTCTCCAGTAATAAATTCATGCGTGAAATTAAGGCTGCGCATCTATCGGTTAATCTACATATCCAATATTGTGGTGATGCAAGGTTTGGGTCCATCTATCTGAAGATGATGGTTATTGTGCTGTAACAGTTGGTTCCTATTATGTTGCGAATGAAAATGGGAGTGTAATGATCTCTCTAGCTGTGTCCTTAGATTTATTATTGGTTGTCAATATTTTTCATACTGGAGGTCACGTGCATCTCTTATTTGTTAGAAATTAGGCTTAGCAAGGACTTCCGATGAGCACTGGATAGTTCAAGGTCTTGTAGTAGTGTTTTTAGCCACTGATCGAAAACAGTCCAAATGCAGATTAATGTTTCAATATTTAACTCTTAAAACAGCTTGCAAGCATTAATACTGGTTTTCCTTGTGCATTATGTCTTTAAAAACTTAACATTTATTGGAGAGCATTTGATAATTGTCTTCTGTGTTCGGTGATGGTGAAAGGGATAGTGCAACATAGTAGAGGCAAAACGGAGCTCTATTGAATTTGGGAATTTCAGAACAATGATTGAATTAGATGTATTGACTGCTGATATATCAAAAGCTTACGACGATCTGCGGAACATTGAGGAATCAATAATATCTTTGTCGGGAAAGGAGAGGTTAGTATCGATTTCATTTTCTAATATTTTATTATTTAGTATCTCATGTTTCTTATTGTATGTTAGTGTTCTTCATTCAGATTTTACTTTCATAATGAATGTGTATTTTAATTGTCCGGTAGAAAAATTGATGTGGTTAGATGTTATGTACATAATTGGAAAATTAAGATAGATCCTCGAAATGTTCATGAGATCTGATTAATTTGTAGTACCTCTAATTCATGTAAATTAAAAATTAAGGTGAATTTGTCATGATATATATCAAGGAGCGACGTTGTTTCCGTTTTTATGTTAAGTTTTTTTAGGTTTGGTGCGAGCAGGAGGCGTACTATTGATTCTAGTCGTTCTAATAATTATGGTTATGAAAGGTAGTAGTATTACATTATATATGTTGCAGTATGTTTTGTTGATTAAATATATTAGAAATCAAATTATTTGCAGGCGTGATGGCCGTGTTGTTAGTTTGGATTCATTAGGACCAAACAAACGTCGCCTAGTTATATCTGCGGAAAATGAGTCAGTTTTTATCACTGCAGTTAGTAAGAAACAATTCAAATTAATCAAACTACACTTTGATAAGGAATATCTATTCATTCCTTTCTTAGCGTCTGAAATTTGGTCCCTGATTTTTAAAAGCTTAAATAGAAAGTATCTGATAGATCGAGTTATTATCTTAAATTTAATGAACTAGTCGTTTGCAGTTTATATGAAGGTTCAAGCAAGAGATTGCGGTATGATGAAAAAGATGACGAAAATATGCGACATACTGTACAATCGTCGGTTGTAATGCCAGCTATCGAAACGAAGTCACGTAAAGCTGCTATTTCTGAGCTCAAAGGCTCAGAGAAAAAAGAAGTTAATGTTCGGTTAGGTTTCTTTGTTTTGTTAACAACTGTAGTTTTTACTAATATCCTACCGAAGTGACTTTTTAGTCTTACTGTATCTACGAGCGCTAAATGTAGATATTTCAAATGATGTATGTTTGGATTGCATTTCTAAAGCTTGAGCATTATTTTTTCGTAGAAATCGTCGGATGTTTTCTAATTTATTGCTTGGGACTTTGCAACGTTTCCAAAAAGAGGAGAAGAAAATATCATCAGTAGAAAAAGTTCAGGCATGTCTTTTTGTTATTCTTGGTCAGTCTTTGATTTGTATCACGCTGGGAAATGGTTTTTCATAATATTATTGTATTTATTTTTTAGGCCGAAAAGCAGAAAGAAGTTGAGAGACGTTTGCGTGAATCAGAAGAAGAAGAACGTGAAAGACTTGCTCGAGAAAGAGCAGCATTGCTTGGAAAGCGTCGTGAAAAGGAACGTTTAATAAAATCATTGCAACGAAAAAAGGCTATCATACAATATGTAAGTTTGTTAGCATTTAAGATAATGTACTGTGAATATCTGGTTTTGAACAATTTTTATATAAATCAATTTACCGAGTTCAAGTCTATTGTTACACTTCAGAAAAAAAATTGTTTGATACTGTAATATGTCCTTTATCATTGGAATAATCTGCTACTTGAAGTTTGTTTCAGGCAGAACAAAAGCAGGAACATTACCGAAAATTACAAAACTTCATTCAAACGCAAGCAAAACCTCCTATATTTTATTTACCCGCAAAGCATACATTACGAACTCTCGAACTTCTGAAGGTCTCCTCGAAAAAAATTGATGGTGAGCAATCACAGTTTTGCAACTAACATTTATTTACTGCAGAGATGTCTATTTCGTATTATTGGTTATGAATATTTGGGAAAAAATGGACTGAATTATGATTATAGATCTTATTGAGCATCGGCGTCTACAAATGGAGGCTGACTTAAAGACACCAGAAGAGAAACAGGTGGATGAGGAGGAAGATAATTGCGAACATTCTCAGGATTTAGATGATATGCATTTAATTGGTAACTCTGTTGTAAAAGATATAAGTAAGTTAGCAGATAATGAGCAAACTGCTGGAGAAGAATTTGGTGATGAAGATAAAGACTTGAACTTGATTGGAAAGATATCAATGGAATCTTCATTACAGGTATTTTTGCAGATATCGACTCTTGCAGTAAAGAAAAAAGTTATTTCTTACATTTCAGTAAATATTTTATTTTTCAAATGCCTAACTTCTTTTATTTACCGTAAGTTCTGCGATATCTAGGAAGTTTTCTTTCTTAATTGAGCTCTCTTTTTGCTTCAGAACGTAGAATGGGAAAAGTGTGAAAATGGAGAGGAAACACCTAGGTTGAAACAGTTGGTAGAAGACGAGGAAAATACAGGTAAGGATAATAGTCATAGTGACATTGAGCCATTGGTTGATGAGGCTGAGATTGATCAGGATGATGACTCTCAAGTTGCATCCGCTGATGAAAATGATTGATTATATGAAAATGTTGCGTGAGTACTCGTGAAGTTGATTTCTCAAGGGAACATGTTTTTTAAAGTTAATATTTTAAACAGAATTTAGTTGTAGGAAGGAGGCTTTTAGGTAGATCGCACTTTTTTCTATTATTTACTCCGGACAGCTCTACAGAGCAATTGTGTAATGATGTTGAGATTATCGGTTAGCGAATTTTTATCTTTTTCTATTTATATTGAAACTTCCGTAGTGAGTTTTAAGTTTTTTCGTCAGTATTTACTGCCATCCACTGTGTTTCTAAGAGATACAACACTTGGCTTGTTTTTTTACTCTTAATTTTGATATTTTGATGAAAACCGGTTTTCTTAGCAACTTTTCAGCCTGACAACATATTTCAGGTTTCATATTTTTTCTCCTGACTTTTTTTCCAGCTGTTTTGCTTATGTTTTACAGCTCAGTAACCTCAATAGTTATGCAGTCATCATGACATTCACTGTATTGTTACAGATTTACTGTTCCTTCAGTAAACAACAGTTTAATGTCATGGAGAATTGGTTATATAACACAATAAAACTTTTCGTTATTTTTCAATTATACGTGATTACAAGTTACTTCAATCTATTGAAAGATTGCAATCTTTATAAATTTATTTTGAAGTTAGTGTTTTACTAATTGTTAGAAAAGTTACGACTCAAATCATATACGTTGTGTTGCATTTGATTCCTTTCGCAGATTTAGATTTTTTCATGGATTTGTTGTCAGCCAAGTGATAAATAATTTGTTTCAAGAACGAGAACCAATATACGCAGTCCACTGCATTGTATATATTTCTTACAGTATTACAGGAATACAATGGTGACTTCATTGAGCCTTGTTAAAGAATTAGCTGCCTCAACTTTTTAGTCTTTTTATGTGATATATTTTTGATAAAAATAATATAGAATGTATTTTTAAAAGAATTATGACATATCCTTAAGATTCAGAGATGTCTCAACTAAAAGAAGGTGAACGGGGATGGGGATGGCTTTTTGTGTTTGATTTAAAGTTACTATTATTTACTAATTATGATTATATCTGAAGGATTTAAACCAATAACTGATATTTGCCTTCATGTCTTCTTTTGAGAATGAATATGAAGGATTATGTATATTGCCTTAAAAAAACACTGAAATGGAGTTACGGTATGTGCATTCACTGATGTAATAGTTAAGTCGGTTACAGTTTCAATGCATTAAGATATAGCATAACGGCTCTAATTCCTCACGTCCTTTGTATGCATTGTTCGGTAATTGTGAGCTTGACATAATACTTTGGCTGTAATCACTATGAATCAGTTTATCACAAGTATGAAGTACTAGTCGGAAGTGGTAGTCAGGTTTGTGTAGTTTTCAGTTTGCGGATTTCAGATTTACCTTGATATTGTCTACCAAACGGTAAATTGATCATTTTGTGAACGGGATTAAATGCATAAATTTCATTACATATTTTTGACAATAGAACTAGAGGTAGGTTCGCAATTTGCATTCTGCGTAAGAGATGGAAATATTGCACGTTAGCATGGACGTTCTGATAGTGGATCAAGGAATTACATGTAGTTTCTTGCAGCCATCAGCTACTTGACTAAGTTTTTTGAGTACGAGTAAATAATGGAACAGCTTTTGCTGTGAAATTTGATTTGTAGCTGTTGGCTGGTTTCGTGACATTAAGGCATTCTAGAGAGGATATAGAAGCTTGTTTTCTTACAAAAGTGATCACTTGATTGCCAGATTTGGAGGACCATTATGCTTTATTATCAGTGGTTCCCTCATTGTTTGCTTTTCGCGTATTGCTTGAGTGCGCTTTAATCCCATTCCAGGTTGTTGCTTGACCTAAAATGCTACGAATTTTGATGTACAATTTAGTTGGAGTCATTTTACGATAGTATAAACAAATCACCTTTCTACAGTATATCTCAAAAATTGTATTAGGTCATAGATTTAATTTTCACTATTAAATAATAGCAGTAATAAAATTAAAAAAATTTGGTAGTGAAGGAAACAAACTTGGTAAGGGCTGAGAACACCACGTCGCTTTTTAGGCATTTTTGAACGAGCTTGCGTATGTGAATAAAACATGGCGAAATTGCTGACGATTACCTTAATGTATACTTTCATTAGCAATTGAAATTAAAAGCCATTCATAAATTATAAAAAAAGTGATTGGCAACCGAAACCAAAAGGTGGTGTTTATTTAGAGAAGTGTAAAGGTATTATTTCTTAAAGGATAAGGAATTAATTATGCTATTCTTACTGGGACAGGTAGAGCAATTGTCAGCACACCAGTGAGTGCACATACAGAACCAATAATACGTCCCAGGTAAGTATGAGGTGTCATGTCGCCATAACCAATAGTTGTCATTGTGACAATCTGTTTAATCAGAAGTTATTTAATCCTTGAGAATGGCGGAATATCTCGTGACTTTTCATACAATTATGGTTTTTTTTTTTTTTAAATTTCGGCAGCTAATCGTTGTATTATTTATCACGTCTTATACTTCTTGTTTTTTGAGGTACAGATTAGTCCTATAAATGGTATACATTTTCTGCTTTTGGTTAAAAAAAATAACTGATTTACTCACCGCCCACCACAATCCTAATGGAATACTTTGAAACTGGTTTTCTGGATTTACTTCTATTCGTTCTGCATAATAAACCAACGATGCGAAAACCACAATACCGAGAACCAGAAAAAATACTAACAACATTAATTCTTTAGCACTTGCCCTGAAGTATGAGTTTAGTGTTTGACACGCGTAAATTGATGATTGAAACTATAAGTACATTGAAGAGATGGTTATAAGCACCGAGGTTTCAGAACTGGATAAGCATTTTACATTTTTCTAACGAATGTAGTAGAAATAGTCGTCAACTGGTAACCTGAATGTATGCATAAGAATCTTGAGCCCACTGGAATGTTGGGTAAGTTTGAACAAGCGCATAATCCTGATAATCGAGAAGAACTCTAGATCAGCTGTAGATGAACCAAAGGTTGTCATCAAGAGATCCACGTAGAAAGTTAGCGTTGCTATGAGGTCGATTATGTTCACCTTAGAAATGTCAAATGATAACTTTAATTTGAAAACTAGCACGTTGTATTTTATAAGTATTTCAGTGTATTTTATACTTGGTCATTATTCTGATTTAAATTTAACTGAAAATGATAAAGAGTCTCTAAGTTACTGAATTAGATACAAACACTGCACAAATAAAAATCATTTTGGAAAAATTTTCTCCTGCTTGAAATCATCACTATATTTGAAAATGTTTTTGAATAAAATAATACTTACAGGAGTTTTGAAATACTTTATTTTATTGGGACATGTAATGAATCGTATAAGTATTTCCAACGTAAACCACATATTACAGACAGTTTCTACTATCTGAAATAATAATCGTGTTGAAAATTTTCAGTTGCTAGAGAAAGTAAAGCTTTCAACAAGTGCTAGTTTCATTAGTGACGAGGTCACGAGATGGAAGTGAACTCTTTGAATTCGATGAAATAAATTTACTATAAAGCCAGGATGTGGCTTGGAGTTGTATTTGACAATACCAATAGTTTCGGTCCGGTATTTGAAAGGATAATTGACAGCACGGTGGTGACGTTCAGAAACATTCACGTAAATGTCATTTAATTCGGCTACACGTAAGCCGGGATGAGTTTTCAAACAAAAGACCAATATAGCTATGATCAGGAAAAAGACGGAAATTACGGCTACTACCTGTAAAATTTTAAAAATGTTTAAGTTATTTGCAGTTAGTATCGAGCCGAAGTACTAATTTAGGTGTATATTACTGAAATTAAAATTATACAAAAATGACGTTACAATAAATTAATCTGCATGTTGCCAACAAGGTTACCATTTAAAAAAAAGTGTAACCTAATTAATTATTACTTGACTTGCAGATTAGACTAGATCAAAAAAGTGTTTTTACTTGGTTGATTTGCAAATTAAATTGGGTCAAAAAAGTAACTCTTGATGGATCATATTCTGAAATTCTATGGTGAAAATTCTATAAAAATTTCTAAGCTAATCCCACTGTTAAAATTTGGAAGTAGCACTTTTAAATGGACACAAATTCTAGCAAAAGATGTCAATGAAATTAATTTAACGAACTTTTGCTCCATTGGATGAATAAGGCTCATCAAATAAGTACCAAATTTTTGGTTTAAGTCTCTGCCATCTTGATAAGGAATGATTGTGGAAGTCTTCTTCCCATCCGAATCTTTAAAGAATTTAAGATAGGGAAAAATTAAAAGTTGTGGATTTAATCTACGCTAAATACATACAGTGTTTACTTGGAGACCAAAGCAAGCAAGTTAGACTTGGACTGATTGCTTGACTTTAATAATGAGATAAAGAGCTACCGTATATTTATGATATCCATTTGATTACAAATATTTAGTTGTAGTATGTGAAAACCTAGCTGATTGATGAATGTTTAAGTAAATAAAGTTATTGGAGAATATTATGCGCACCGCCGATACAATTCTTCTTCATCCTTAAGACGATCTTCATCGAAATCGATGTCAAGCTTGTCGAGAGTAGTCAGCACTTCTTCCGTGTCTCGATGTTGCGTGTATGTCATCCAACAACACGGCTCGACTTCATTTGCATCGAGACCCCAGTACTGCAACTTGTTCTGCATGAAAATAACATACAAAAGTCCTTAAAGTTCATTAACAATTTACTGGAAAATGTTAGGCACGTAAGATATAAAAATTTTGACGTTACAGACGTAACTTTTTCCTAAGATGAACTCTTTTATTGAAGTAATTTAATCTCATTCTTGATGACTTTACTTACACGTCTTACCTGTTGAATGTATCTTAGTATTTATTCAGCTCTCAATCATAATAAGAAACAATTTTCAATGTTTCAGAACTTTTTCTCGCAAGAGATTTATTTTCTGACTAAATTTAAGCCTTTAGCCAAAATAATTCCATATGCTTTTATTTTTATTTGTAAATTAGCCTTTACAGTTTTATTCAAAGATGCAAGTTATCAGAAGGAAATTCATCTAACGTCATGTTCATCGCACATTTGACTCAGTACTTAAATTGGTTGTTCAGCTCAATAACTGAATGCAATAATTTGAACTGTTCATCAAGGCCTTCATTTGAAATGCTTTTAAGTTATATTTAATAACTATGCTGGATCAAATACCTTTAACTCTTCTTCAAAAAGCGGTCCACAAACATCCAAGGGGTAATGCAATTTACCAGTTCGATAGTAATTCAAGATGAGAGCAAAAACACCCGGATGGCGATCAAAAAAGTACTCGTTCAGTACGGGGTCGTAATTCGCTAAATTTGTCGTTAACCTACTCAATCGCGTAGCTGGAATTTTTTTCAAAGTATGCTTGTAAGTTTCATGTCGAATTCCACCCACATTGAGAATCACTCGATATTCGCTATCCATGATAATGTTTCTGCAAAATGATTCCATATGCTTTTATTTTCATTCCTAAATTACTGAATATTACTTACACTTGTCTCATCATTTTTTTTTGCTTTCATTCTTTTTTAGTTATTCGCTCGAATCATGATTTTTTTAAGTAATTGATATTTTGTGTATATTTTATGCTTAAGAAGACTTGAATAAGTTGACTGTTGTTATATGCTAGAAGCATAAGTAAGACTGCTTTTTAAGTTATTTTTGATAAAATCGATATGCCTCGTTGGAACTGAGAGTTTTTTTCAAAGAAATTAGTGTTAAAAGTTTGCTGAATAGACAACAAGTAATGATGTAAACTGCAATTAATTACCAAATGCCAGATCTAGAATTCTGCTAGAATTCCGCTAGGATGGTAGTTGCAACTTTTAACTTTGTTGCATAAAATTTATGACTTCAATATTTTCTTTTATTAATTAATTAATTAAATGAATTACTCGACAAAAAAATCAATTCATATGTCAGAAATTTGCACTAAATTTGTTTTTTAAGTGCAGTAAATTCTGGCAAATTTTTTAAAACAAGACAAAACTTAAATTAATTAAAAAATTCTATTAGGTCAATTTAAAATTTGTTATGTGTAGCATTAGTAAAATTCAACAATTAACTTTTGACTTTTGACTTTTGACTTGCAGGAAATACCAATTTAAAAAAAGGATATGTAGAGAGAGTAGAGACAATTGGAAGCTAAAAATAAACTTTGTAAGGTTTCTTTAAAAAAATACAAATCTAAAAAGTTTTGCTAGAAATTTATGCAGTAAACAAATAGAACCAAAGAAAAAATGGTTTTGCTTTTCGCTTTGGCATTCAGTACTAATTCAGATGAAAATTCGATGATTACACATGAGCAGACTTCTATTAACATCTATCTTGTCGAGATGCAATTGTGAGGATTAGTACCACTGAAACCGGCAATAGCGGTAGTCATAAGAGGTAATTAATGGAAAAGGCGGAAAATGCACCGGTATGCATCTCTTCCTTCTACTGCTTCTCAGCAATCGAAATAAGCTTAATGAAAGCTTGTGCTAATTTCCGTTTGCCTCATATTTTATATTCAATTTTTTGGCTCACACAAAATTAATCTCAAATTTTGTGGTATAAAAAAATGCTTATGTTTGATATTTTTTGCATTTTAATAATTTTCGTCCAATGCCTTTTGTGGAAACATTAGTGACAGATAAAATGGATAGATGGATGTGTGCATGGAAGAGTAGAGAATTGATGGGTTCTTGGGTAGATTAGGAGCAACTATGGTACTTTTTTGAAATGATAATTGTGTGAACTTTGCAAAATTACATCAAAGTGAAAGTTAGGACTTATAAAAAGGATTGAAATTCTAGTCAAATTTGAAATTAAAATCATTTGTGTTTTCAAGGTCTTATAAAATCTCACTTTAGAAAGTTACTGTGCTTTCTTTTTTAAAACTTTAAGAGTTCAGAATTTGCAGTTTTTTTTTTTAAATCTCAGCACTTACAGTTTAGATCAGTGAGCAATTCTTTTAATATTACAGAAATGTTCATCTTACACCCGACAGTTTTTCACATTTTTGTATAAGTTTGGGTGACAGAGGAAATATTATACGCAATTCAGGCAGAATAGCTATAAAGTTTAAGATTTTGGCAAAATTTTATGCTTCAAATTACATATCAGGAATACCTGACTTTCAACTTTGGAATCTTTTATTTACTTTCAAAAACCTGTACGTTGAATTTTCCAGCCTGACAGAACCAGGTTCGTTGTTCAACCTTAAACTGTTCACAAAGCAATTTCTACTGCCACATCTGTCTATTCTAAACAGTTTCCCAATAACCAGAAGTTATTGATATGATAAATTTGAGTTAATCCATTAAATTATCCAAATAAATAAATGCTATGATTACTATTTTATCAAACAGAAGGCCATATTTAAAGCGCAGGTGGAAGAATGTTCCAAAAAGATAAATAGCAGTAAGTTTTTTCACGACACTGAAAACATGGACAAATCAACTTTATATAATAACTGAACATCTTCTGAAAAAAAATAAAAGTAGTCAGGCATAAACGTGAACTACTTCTGAAAATGGATTGCGTGTAAGTACTGTAAATGATCAATAATTATATGTAATAAGATAGTAATGTGACAGAAATCTGTTAGTAGCAATACGCGTTAAAATACAAAAAGCATACTGTACAATTACGCTATTCCACGTAATTTTATTTTCATATCTTGTATGTGTCAAAATAAATATTTTTATTTAATGAGGACTTATTAATAAGTATAATATATTATATCGTCATAGTGCATTCTTTACATTCAGGCATTAAATGATAGAAGAATTGAGAATATAAGCATTGATTATTAGCATAAATATTAGTTAAAAGTGAGCAAATATAGCACGTGGTAAAAGGATAAAAGTTAAATAGAAGGATAACGCTTGACGCAAAGCAAAGTATGCAAAGTGAGAGCAACTGAAGGTTGTTGAGGAAATTTGAAGCAATTCATAGATTACACGCATTATTCACAAATATATTCACACACGTGTGCATGTAATTTTTAGCAGTGTTAGTGTTGAACCCTAAGATGACTGTTCATAACACTAATGAAAAAAGCCAGCATGCATCACGATAGCATTTGCAACCATGAAAATTCTTAGAGATTAATTAAGTTAGAGCAGCTACATGTAGCTACATCACATACTTCTAGTGCTTTTACTCAAGCAGAAGTAGCATTTACTTAATTACTCATTTACTTGCTTACTTCTTTACTAACTTAGTTAAAAACTCATCTAATAACTTACTTAGAATTAAAGTAATCTTTTAATAACTTATCCCAAATTAAAGTGATGCATTTGAAAGGAAATAGTCTCTCTGTGCTTCCAGACTAAGTTTTACATCCATTCCTTAATTAATTCATTTATGAATTTTAAAGCAGGCGTCAAAACGAATGCAAAAATAATGTGTGTGTTTGTCTATGTGTGTATGTTTGCCAAAGAGTGATAAGTAAGTTAGTAAAGTAGGTAGTGAATGACATGCAAGCTGCAATATGAATTCGCGTTTACTTGAGCGATTCGCAATTGCATTAATGTCAAAGAAATGCAGTTGTTGAATTGGAACAAGCCTGTGGAAACAACACTACACTGATATCGCATCTATTTTTAACTCCTTTATGCAAAAAGCAGGAAGTAAATATCATATCATATCATATCCTATCATATGATGGTTCACGCTGAGCACTTAAATCATAGTAGCAAAGCTGACTTGATTCATTCATTCTAAACTAAGAAGACTTCTGAATGCTTAATACTTTCTACATCTCAAAAGAGTTCCAAAATTAAAAACTAGTACTAAAAATAGCAGTTGACAATTTTTATATTAACAGTTAATAAAACAAAAACGCTTAGCTACAGAAACTATTGAGTTATTATTATTTCTAAATATACTTTAAAAGTTATGCTTTTATGTTTCGTTTGCGTGAAAATAATTCTATTTTTAATTCATAAAATAATTAAAATATAAGCATTTGGGTGGTAATCTCAGTTTAATTAGTTTAATGTTGTTCTTTTCACTTCTTATAAAAAGTACATCCCACAATGAGTACTTTTTACAGTGCTTTAATTAATATATCGATAGAAAATATATGCAATAACTCGGAAAAGCAAGTACTTGAAGGTAATAAATATCTCAGATCAAAAAAAAACCTCAAAAAGGAGGTACCAAATATTTATCAGTTATTCTCATCTTGCGATAGTGTCAAAAATACTTATAGAAATAGCACCAAAAATACAGATTCCACCAATCCAAGTACAGTTTTAATGGATTTTGATATATTTAAGACTCTAGCATTTTTTCTTAATTTTTATATGATGAATCTGACAATTGTCTTCATCCATTCAGTTCATTTCTGCTAAAATTCTAAATTAGTGTGGCATCTGAATACAATTTAGAAGAACCGTTTGCTATTATACAGCAAACTCTCATAAATCCTTGCATAATATCTGTGTTTCCTCACATCTCAAGATTATTAGAAAACAGAATGCATTTTTAATAACTTGAAAATTGCAGATTTGTTATCTTTCAACGTTTATGCTTTTATTGCAAATGAAATGTAGAAAGTGTAATAGCGGATATCAAAGTGTTGTGTTTTATTCTCAGAGATAACGTTTCAGCATCTGATAGTTTAACTGTTCGCATGAATTGCCAGGTGTTTGCAAAAACTGACACACACCGGCGATTCATCTGAACTGCATCTGTTTGCATAGGTACCTATCAGGGAATCAGGGAACCAATTCATTTCATGATATAATTCATTCACCATGTCATGTAATTAATTAATTCATTATATGATTCAATCAGATAGAAATCGTAGCACAAAATTCAACTGTAATCTTTTAATTATTTTTCTTAATGTTTACAAATGAAACCAGCAGAATCGTTCATTCATAAGTGCATTGCTTACTTGTATGGAATTACTGTAATCGCTTATTAATTCTCTCAGTGATTCTTTCATTAAGATGTTTGAAAGTGAAAGAAGATGGAAAAGACTAAAACGCAAAAAAAAATGAAGAATAGATGTATGCATAATTTAAAATTTTCCATTATAAAAGTAAAGTCAGATGCTAACAATAGAATGAATTAAAAATATTTCTGGATGGCTACGTTGGCTTTTGCAAACTAAAGTTATGAATAATTGAAAATTAAGTAATAAATAGATTGCTGTTGAAAGTAAAGTATACTTTTCATTTTCTCACGAACGAATACACGCACAAAGATACAGACGTACGCACACAAACACACAAACACTTTATGCATTTGTCTGTATGCGTAAAATGATGCATGTTAATTAAAAATAACAGAGTTGATACTGAAGAGCAAGAAATTTCTTAGGTGACAAAAATTGATAAATATGCAAATGCATGAGAATTATTTTTGAATCCTATAACATGTGCAGCTTTTACTAGAAACGTAGAGCATATTGTAGCCAGAATGAGTTCAACTCATGCGAATGTCACTTCTGCTTT